CCACCACCGCCGCCGCCGCCCCCACTGCCGCCTCCCCCAACTATGATTTCCACCACATCTTTGTCGGCGTCACCGTTTTCGACCACCACCGCCACCACCAATCCTGGTGACAAGGAAGTGCCCGTGACAAAGGTGCCCGTGTTCATGACTTCAGCAGTGAACAACAGCGGCGGNCGGTGGCGGCGGAGTTAAACGAGCTAAAACGTATTCGGGAAGCAAGGCCGGAAACAACAACACTAGCAACAAAATGGTCAAAAACAGCAGCAGTCTTTGCCAGCAGGTCAACAATTTGCCCACTATGACCTTTTCATCCCCCTCTTCTTCGGAAGTTGAGAACAGCAGCAACTGCCGTTTAGCAGTGTCAAGTGGATTCTTTTCCGACTCAACTCCTTCCTCCTTGGTTTACTCTGAGGCGGCAAAACTGCAACAACAGCAGCAACAACAGCAGCAGCAGTACATCGGCTTGCTGACCAGCTCAGAAATGCCACTAAAAAACCAGTCAAATGGACTTGTTCTGCCACCTCCGGCGCTCAACTTCAACTTTAGCAGCAGCAGCAGCAGTAGTAGTAGCAGCAGCAGTCAAACTGCCGCAGTAGCCAAAACGAGCAGTAAATCAGGCGGCGGCAAATCGGCGATTAAGTCGCTGCTGCTAGGCTCTCCTTCTTCATCATCATCACCTTCTTCTCAGCATATTTCGTCTACATCCTCGCCGATTTCAAGCAAGGTAAACTGCACGCAAACTGCTGCTGATGAGCTGCTAAACAGGGGGACCTCTATTGTGAAGGGTGACCACACCACCATCACGGTAAATCAGATCTCAGTGGGCGGCGACCGAATTGAGCTGATGTTCACCAGCAAGGCGCCGCCCGCCATGGGCGCCATTGATATCGCTGACATGCCAGTGCTCACCACTACCACGCCCAGTCGACAGCAGCAGCAACCACTGATGACTAAAAAGGCGGAGATGAAGGGCGAAAAAGCTAAGGTGAAAACCACCACAGAGACGTCAGCGCTGCGGAACGCTGAGATTGTCATTAATGAGGTGGCCACCAGTGTCAGATCGACGATTTCCGAGCACTGTGAACAGAAGTTTGCTGCCAAAACAGAAGCTGTTGAGGGAAACTCATCAAACTCATCATTGCTGCATATGATGGCAACCTCTGAAGAGAGTAAATTTACTCAAACCGCAACAGATTCGACTTTTGCCTTTGCGGAGAACTGCTCGCAGATGATGCTTTTGGCCGATGTGGCGGAGAGCAGTTGTCAAAAAATTGCAATTGGCGGCAGCAATCAACAACAACAGCAGCAACATTTGCCCGTCAACCTCTTTGACCCATCATCATCATTAGCAGCAGCTTCTTCTTCCACCACTTTTGAGCCTTCCCCATCATCACCAAACGACGTCGACGTCTTTATTGGCAACAGCAACAACAGCTCCTGCAACCCCGACAATGACATTTCTCAGTTTATCAATCACTCTTTTACCATGGCGAGCACGTCAACGCTCAGCACTGCTACCACAGCCACCGCCAATGACAACAGCAACGAAAACTCGGCTAATGAATTGATGGCCTCATATTCTGATCCACTTCAAAACCTTGGCGGCAGTGGGGGTGATCCCCACTTTCTGGCGGATGATTTCATCTCCTCGGACAATGAGGACTTCTTTCGTCGCCTGGAGAGCATGGAGGGAGACTCTTTCAACAACAGCTCCGAGTCGCTGGACATGGCCAACGTGGACTTCTCTGGCGGCTGTACCGTCGTCGACGACGTCGTCAGGGAGTTCACCAACATCGACAATCTCTTTAGTTCCGGTGGTGGTGGAGGTGGAGGTGGAGGTTCGATTGGTGGCAGTGGTGGTGACCTGACATGCGATGGACTTTCCGGCATCATCGGCGACGGCCTCGACGAGGCCACACTGCTGGCAGATCTGGCCGCCAGTGGCGCCCTCTTTGAGCACTTTGAACGCGGCGCACTGACGCCCACCTCTCTCTACGAGGCCACCACCACCACCACCACCTCCAGTCACTCTCCTCTTGAAGCAGCATCATTTGCCACTTGCCACTCCACTTCGGCATTATCCTCCTTCTCCTCCTCTTCCTCTCCTTCCGGTCTGGGATGCTCTTCGTTGATCGCGCATCAACACCACCACTACACATCCGCAAGCTCTTCTGCGCCGCCCGGCCTGCTTCCGGTTGGTCCTGGAGCATCAGCATCTGCAACATCATCATCAGCAGCAGCAGGAGGACTGGACAGCTCGGCGTTGCTGTTCAGCAGCACCGATCCGATGCTGTCGGGGAATGCCTTCATCTTCTCGCCCGACTCTGTCGGCTCGCTGGACAATCACTCGATTCTGCTCAGCGACGGCAGCACCACCGACAGCCTCGACTCCGCCTTGTCGATGGCCATGGCCTCGATGGAGCAGCAGGGCAACAGAACTGGGGCCCGGGGCTTGGGGGCGGCGGTCAACTGTGCAGGCAATGCTGCTGCAAAAGTTGGAACAACAAATGCTGCTGTTCATGGTTTGCCTGCTTCCGGTTTTGTTGCCGGTGGTTTTGGTGGTCCTGGTGGTCGAGGTAACTACCAACTGGGCGCCTATGCTGCTAATATCATTGGTGGTGGTGGTGGTGGTGGTCAGGCTGGCTCCTTTCTCAATGATGGCACGCCTTTTTTGGGTTTGGGTTGCAACCATCACCACCAAAACAGCACCGGTAATGTATCTCAGCTGATGTCTCACATGGCAGGTAAGCAGGTTGCTACTGAAACCTCTCTTTTTTATCACTCTCAAACTTACACAAAATTTTCTTTTTTTTCCACCAGAAATGAGTCAGCTGAAGGTGGACGAGGAGTTGCCGCTGTGCGACGCGAACATGGTCAACAAGGTACTGTCAGACATTGAAATGGAGAAGCTGGACGACAGTCTGCTCGCCTTTGCCAACTCCTCGGCGGACATCTACTCCTTCAGCTTCGACCACCTGGCGGACCCCATTTGGCCAGGCATGGGCACAGCTTCGGATGCCGTCCTCTCATCAGCAGGCAATTTCTCTAATGGAAAGCAGCTCTTTGATAGAGAAGGATGCCTGGTGGGCAGTGGTTATATTGGTGGTGGTGGCAACGAGAGGTCAAACCACAACAACAGCATCAACAACAACAACATGAACCTAGGACAGCTGATAAACGAAGGCGGTGGATACTCACTTGGCGGCAGCGGCAGCAACAACAGCAATCCAAACGGCCAAAGCAGCCTTTTGGCGGACACCGCCCACGGTTCACTGGCCTCCCTGGTGGCGCAGGGAAATCCCTCCAAGGCACTGAAGCGGCCTCGCCCTCCTAAATCGGTTAGCAAAATAGGAACTTGATTTTTTTAAACTTTTCTAATAATTTTATTCCTCGGTGCAGACAAAGAACAAGCCAAAGGCCGCCAACAGCAGCACTGCCGTCCCGGTGTCGCCGCTGTCGATGGCCATTCTGGGCGCTATCGAGACGACGACCAAGTCGCTGGCCGACTGCGGCGGCGGCGCCAGCTGTACGCCCACGCCCACCCTTAGCGGCCTGCTCATGTCCACCGGAAGTGCTCTCATCAACAACGCCTCCTCCTCCTCCTCTTCAGCAGTCACTAAGGCCGTCGGTTGTAAAACTAGAAACGGCAGCGGTGATGGTGCTAAAGTCTCTCAAAAGACGTCAACTTCGAAAGGAGGAATCAGTAAGGCAAAAAGCTCTGCTGGAAAGATTAATGAGCTGCAAATTAAGCAAAACGGCAGCAGTTTGCAGCTGCTGATGCAGCACTCAGGACGGCATCCCTCATCCTCATCGACCTCCTCCTCTTCTTTGATCTCCTTTTCCACCTCTTTGCCTTCGCCCATTCTTNGAAAAACTCTGCTGGAATTAAGCTTGATGAGCTGGCACAAACGGAGCAAAACGGCAGCAGTTTGCAGCTGCTGATGCAGCCCTCAGGGCGGCATCCCTCTTCCTCCTCCTCCTCCTCCTCCTCCTCGATCTCCTTTTCCACCTCTTTGCCTTTGCTCCCTGCCAATTCAATGATCTCCACTTCTACCACAGCCACAAACTCCTCATCTTCATCATCTTTGGGAGTTCTGGCTGGTACGTTGATTACCACCACTACCACCACTACTTTAGCTTCCAGCAGCAGCAGCAGCAGCAACAGCAGCAGCAGCAAAGTGGTGTATCCCGTGGAGGCGGCGGTGAACACGAACAGCCTCCTCAAGTCGATCCTCACGGCGCCCATCGTCAACACCGGTCCGCTGCCGGTCGCCTCGATGTCCCTCCAGCAGACGTTGCAGTCGCTGCGCACGGTCATGCCGGGAATGGCCTTATCATCATCATCATCATCGACATTATCATCACCATTATCACCATCAGCATCATCCTCTTTGGCCACCAATACTTCCTCCTCTCCTCGAGGACCACTGACGCTTCAGACACTTCCGCTGCC